TATGATCTCCTAAGGGAAAAGGGTAAACTTCATGAAACTATTCTTCTCCAAAGCAAGTGAATCAACAATACATACTTACACCTCTGTGCCATAAATTTCAAGCACTTCATTCTCAAATGCCCAAGGATAGATGATAGACAGATAGATAGACCAATTGAAATCCAAGTGAAGTTCTTCAAGGTTTATAAAAAGGTCACAATGTAATTCAGTGAGCATAGGCTACCACAGTTTTGACTGTGATCCTCCATTCTGAATTGGTAGCCTTCCATAATTGCAATCACTTTACACTGTGGCTACAACACGGCAGTGCAGTGGAAGAGAGATGCACCTCTCCAAACTTGAAACGGACACATATTGCAGAGCTGTGCCCTGTTTTTGCTCATACGACATTTCAGATGCTCATGGAACGGGTATGAGTGCCGTAATTCACATTTCTACGAATGTCCAGATCAGAATCTTACAATCTCACATTCCATTTGTGTGGCCCAGATCTACTCAGATCCTTTGCTCTTTCCATTGCTTGTTAGCCCATTTACACTAACCTCCCCCAACTGAAATGTTTGAGATTAGATTCCTGGTGTTGTAGGAAAACCAGGTACTGTACACTCAGTTTCCTGACCGACTTCTTTCTGTCTTCCAGGGTGGTAGTGATAGTCAAGCAATCCAGTTTAGAAACTCCCAGTCTCTCATTTTCAGCAGTGAAACCATTTTTAAAAAAATAAGTCATCCTTTAAAATTCAATTAATTCAACGTAAAAAAACACCCCCATCCTTTGGGTACGCCTTCCTTCCTTCCCTTCCCTTCCTTCCTGACTTATTTCCATTTTTCTATTGGAGCGTTACAAACCAATGTGATATATTGCCATAATAGTCTGGTCTATTTTGTGCTAATCCCTAGTCTAGTCCAGGGGCATATTATGTACAAATATAATATGAGTGTGATGTTGTCTCCTTTGGATCTTGTATGCCTGTTTAAAATTTAAATGCTTTTTAGATATCTTCAAATAACAATTGGTGGGCAGAAAATGTATATTCCCCCCTCCCCCACCACTGAAATTCCTGCATTATCCCATAGCCTGTAGCAGTGTGTACACAACACATCACAAGCTGCAAATTTGTCCACACTCTGGTGTGTAAGAAGAGAAGGGATTGATACAGTTAGTTGGGACATATTTTTAAACAGAAAATAATCTCTTTTGTTTGGAAGATGTGAGGCTGAGGTAATCAACAAGCTCCCTAATTCCCATCATTGCCTGCATTTCATCTTAGCAATTCTGACTGTTTCCCCCTTCTTGTTGTCAGGTAGAGAAGGGAGTTGTCTGCAGGCTGTGAGATGGATGTCTTGGTAACATAATATCAGCCTATATGCATCTTCCAAGTTGGTATTCAGGGAACATATGCAGTCCACTGCTGGAGAGCTGATTCTCAGCACCTGCTGAAAGACAATAAAATAAAATGAAAGACCATTTCCCTTGCCAAGCATCAAATAAAGGTAAGAGCAGTTGTGGGTTCAGGTGCAGGAAGACTGCAGCTGGTGGGGTCCACCAAAAGTAAGGTAAATAAAGAGACCAGACTGGATCTTGTGTTCAAATGGCCCAGAACTTTATTGATTGCAGATGTAAGCAGGCATTAGGTATGTATCCTGAATCAACCAACTTGACTGCTGGTTGAGTAATTTGGCTAGGTTGACCCTAGGTTAACAGTCACCCTATGATCTGCATCAATTCCAGGCAATCCCTCCAAGGCCGCCATTTGGGAGGGTTCCTATGGCCCATTGGCTCCCAACTGGGCAGGTGTGGGGGTTATTGATTTGTTTGTTTGTTTGTTTGTTTGTTTGTTTTCTTGTTTTTATTATGTATTTTGTGTTTTTATCTTATCAACAGAGGAGCTCCAAACCCCCAACCCCACCAAGACTAAGGATCCAACTTAATGCCTAACACACACACCCCAAGAAAAAAGTTGTGACAATTGCATTGAGGTAGGCAAAACCTCCAGATAGGCCCAGTTTGTTTGCAGGAAAATTGCTCCTTGGCCCCAAATACAACGACCAAGTATCTCCATAGCAAGATCTCTTGCGTAGCCTGCCTGCTCACCTTTGGGCAGGACCATAAACTGATGCATGGGGTGGGAGGGAGAGAATTCCAACAATGACTAAGCTACTGAGCATGGCTGGAGCCAGCTTAAATAGCCAGCAAGTGGACTGGAGAATGGACTTTTTTCAAAGGTCAAACCATGGACCTCCAACTTTTGTAAAATTTTGATGTATCTGTGGTAATTTTTGTTATGTGAAGGGTGCTATGGACCCCGTGGGTGGGTTACTTGGACCCCCTAAGGTCTGTGGACCATCAACTGGAAACCACTGTTCTATACCCTTATAGAGTCTAAAGTCAGAGACGCAGCACTCATGGCACAGGAAGGCCAAATCCAGATATTCTTTGTTCCAGCACCCAGGAACATCACCACATAAGGGGAAACTGTTCCACTGGTGCCATTAACAGGCACCCTGCCCTTGCCAACATCGCCAATAAATGGAGGAAGGGAAATTGCAAAGCTGTACCACCATCAGAAAATGTCTGGGTAGCTCCACCCATATCATTAGTACACTATTTCTTCCTACCAGGTGGTGTAACTGCACTTTTTTCTCTGTCATCAACAGCTGTTGAAATTGTCTTACTATTATAATTGTATCTTACACTGATTTTCTGTGGAAGAACAACACTTTTATCAGGATATTGTGTAGCTATCCCACAAAAAGTGTTAGCTGAGAAATATTAATGTTTTATTGATCTGTTACACATGGTATCTTGCTGACCGGAGAGGTTTCTACACTGATGTTTACCTCTGTTTTGTTGCAGCTACTTTCCTCTATCCTGGTCAATTGTTTCTCCTTCATGGTAGCTTTCATTCTTGACATGTATATTTACTAAAACTCACTAAACATAATGATATTCTAAAAGCTGTGTCGAACAGATAGGTCTTCACAGCATATTTAAAGGCAGTAAGTGAAGGAACCTCTCAGATTTCCACAGGGAAGGAGTTTATCAACTGTGGAGCCACCACTAAAAAGATTCCGTTTCTGGGGTTGCTAAATTTAATTAATGACAGGCCAGAGAGCAAGCCTCTGAAGTTGATTTGAAGGCTCAGTTAGGTAAGCTCTTGGAAAATGCATAAAAATGAGCACCAGGACACTGAGGGACAAAAGTGAAATAAAATGAAATAAGTGTGCTGGTTTTGGTATATCCCTTAGAGCGTTTTCACAAATGAGGCTGAAATAACTACTTACCATTTCTCACACTGTTTATTGCAATGTTCATACAAAGAGAATGTAGAGATCAGCCATTTTCAGTACAAATGAGCACTGTAGCCAATCGTGGTTTCAGATTCACATTTTACCCTGACTAAAGCAAGAACTGCTTTAAGTTTCAGGTGTGAAAGCATCCCACATTTTAGTATCCATTAGATTAGGAAGGTTTGTGTGTGAATTGCCTATTCATGACACTTCAAGTACACATTAGGAAAATGATGCTTGTTTTATAGTTTCCTGTTATCGGGTAAAATAAATAAATAATATGGGTTTTATAACGTAAGCCTCTTTCATAACTGACAACCAATATAATAATATGAGAATCAACTGTTAACAAAACAGTTAGGTTTTCTTCTAAAGCTTATCTAACCTTGAACATAAATAACTGATTGCCTTATATGCTCTAGGATGAGTCACTTTCAGAAAAATCTAAACGTGAATTTTAATGTCAGCAATAGTCATACTTTATATGATAATGAATAAAAACTGGAAATAAACTCTATTCCCTTTTCAAATGAGAGCCCATTGCAATTTTTCAGTCTACGAATGAGACACAATTTCTGCTTACCCCATATTATGCTCAATAAATTAAAGTACCCTAAATTGCACAGTGCTTTGGCATGGAGTCCTATTAGTGTTTGCAATGACAGCAGGAACCAGTGTTCCTTAAGTGTACAAGGCAAAGCAGTTCTGGGAAGCACCAGTAGAGAACTGAAACCTAGAGAAGCAGCCATTTTGAGTTCAGTTGTAAAAAGAGTTGCACAATGTAAAGTTGTTGGTTCAACACTTAAATTTTCCTGTGGCATCGTTTTATCGAGTTGGCTAAAGCAAATATTACTTATTTGTCCATTTCTAGCTCCTGCTATTGTACAATGGAATGGTCCAGGTTTCTATTCAATTTACATATCATTGGCATTTCTTAAATCTTTATTTAGTTTTAAAAGGGGTTTAAATGTACACCTCATCAGCTGTATTTCAATATTTGAGAATTAGTCAAAAATGCAAATACAGCAATAAGCCTTTAATGAGATGTATCTAGCTCATTTTCTTCACATTAACTCTGGTTCAGGGATTCCTCTAGAATCAACAATACGTAGAAAATCCTTCCAAAACACTATTTCAATATCTTATGATCAGCTACCATGTAGACTTTGTTAGTTATAGGACTTTCTCATGCAATCCAAGACATTAGCAAAAGCTAAGTGCGTTGGTTACATAGTCTCCAACACCCTCAGTACCTTGTGTTAAGAATCTGAAAGGAACTTAGCACAAGGATCGCATTGCAATTGGGCAATCTAATAATTCAGTTCATATAGAACTAGATGGCACATGCCTAGTATATTCCACTTAGCCAAATCAAAACCTGCTTCTCCTGCAGTCCTTCTGACAGCTCACAACAGGCATCAGTAGTGTCTATCCTTTCCACATCACCACATGCAGTGTGCCATCAAATTTTGGAAAACACAAAATTCAGCTATGAATTTTGTACTCTGCAAAGAAGGAAAACACTATAATTTGGAATGAAGTACAGTGGTGCCCCGCAAGACGAATGCCTCGCAAGACGGAAAACTCGCTAGACGAAAGAGTTTTCTGTTTTGGAGGTGCCTCGCAAAACGAATCTGCTATGGGCTTGCTTCGCAAGACGAAAATGTCTTGCGAGTTCCTGGGTTTTTTTTTTTCCTTTTCCCCCTCTTTTTCTAAGTCGCTAAGCCGCTTATCTGCTTATCCGATAAGCTGATAAGCTGCTAAAAGCCGCTAAAAGCCGCTAAAAGCCGCTAATAGCGCTAATAGCGCTAATCCGCTAATCCCATCAATGGGCTTGCTTCGCAAGACGAAAAAACCGCTAGACGAAGAGACTCCCAGAACGGATTCTTTTCGTCTTGCGAGGCACCACTGTAACATAGAATTCTGTGGTGGGTTTGTTTTAGATTTGCTTTTATCTCCCACAGCCCAAAACTACATGTCATCGCTGTGCACAGGAATATCCCCCACCATGTTCGGATGTCACAACAACACTACATGCAGTCCCCCAAATTCTCACAAAACTTTCCTACTTTTCATGAGACTTCACCAAAATCTCATGAGATTTTAGTGACATCTTGTGACATGTCTATCTAACAACTCTGCCCAGCTGTGAGTGGCTGTCTTGTGATTTGATACTCTACATCAGATGACAGACAAGGACTGCCTGGCCGGGCAGCTGCTGGTGGTAGGGTCTAGGGTTGCAATGTTGGTGGTGTCTCAGGTGCACAGACAGAGAGGGTTCCATGAGAGGATGTGAAGTGCTTCTCAATGGGCAGTAAAGTGAGTGCTTACAACAACACAGAGTCTGTTTATTCTGATGGTTCCTACTGGTGGAGACTAAAGCAGTGGGGCAGGACTCAAGTAGGCAGCAAGAGAGGACACTGATTCTGTGTCCCTTTCAAATCCACCACCTGAGAAAAGTGGCTCAGCCAAGCTAATGATAGGGCCAGCCCTGAGTTTAACAGGCATCACTGTTAAATTCAAATAACACAAGAGAAAGTGGGTCAATTTAAAGAAAGGCCCCAGTAAATACAGCAGTCTTAATCACAGATGGGTTTTCTAGTATATGCATTTAAAACTTGAACATTAAGATCAAATTCTTTGATTACCATTGATTTTTGAAATAAATGTATTTTACAGCCCATATGGTTCTGCAATCCTTGGGCCCTAGTGCTTCCTATTAACACATAACGTGTGGAAATGCAATTGTGAAGACTTTAAACTTGGGATAAAATGTTTTATCTATTTCAAATTTATGGAACAGATGTTGAAATCTTTGTAGGAGGCACTTGAGATTAGGTCTATTTTTCATTGTAAGATGTAAAGCTTAGAAATGGTTATCAAGCTTCTCATATCTTAAGCTATAAATTTGATGCAACATCATTTTTAGTCTGCTCTAGAAGTTTTATGAAGACCTGGTGCTGTTTCGTATCAGGTGATTGGCTTTAATGAATTAGCAGCTTCACAACTTCTTTGTGCCTCCCTGTGGAATTGGAGCAATTAAAAAGTTGTGCTAATTTGGCTTCTTAGTATAAGGCGTTTATTGGAAGGAAACAAGTCTCTGCATTAGGTTCCATCAGCAACAAACAAATCACCTTAATTGGCTGCATAATGAAAGGATGCTTTTATAGACCTTGTACTTGGGGAGTCTGTGGTTCAACTGCATCTGTAAGTTTTTGCAAAATAACTTTCATTTCAGCATAAGTGGATAAATGAGCTTCTCTAGACATATTTGCTTAGCCTTCGATGACATAATATTTAGATTGATAATATTCAAGACAGAATATATTTTATGTTGTGATTTCTGTCAGATGCTTTTCATGTGTTGCGGCATAAAACTTGTTCTGTGTTCTTCAAGAAATAGATGTTTCAAAAATACTGTGTTTGGTGCTGGAAAAAGGACACTTAAAACATGAGCTACCCAATCTAGGAAAGACAATTATGAAGCAAGGTTTTTGGTGTTTGTTTTTAATGCAGTCCACATGCACAACAGGGTTTGCGAGGGTTTGAAGATGGGCATCTGAGTCCATTGTGCCTGTAGTCAGGAATGGAAGCAGATAAGGAAATCCAGAAGATGAATCTAAAAAGAGGACAGGACGTTATTGGATACAACTCCACAGTGGCAAGGCAAGGCATACAAGTAAGGATCCTGTTTCTGGCAGCCAACATGCTGCCAGAAATGCTCAATCAACAGCTCAATCAGACATGGATCAATAGCTTCATGCGTCCTGACCATCTGAGTGTATGCTTGTGATGAAGGATTCTGCCTGATGCCCCAGTGTCAAAAATAGTAATTAGCAAAGGTTGTGAAGGAGAACTTAAAATTCCTTCCCAGCCTCATCAGCCAGCAGCTAACTCTGGGTCCATAGCAACAGGAGGATGTCTTAATGAAACTATGATAACACGACAAAAAGAGGGAGAGAGGATAAGTAGGCTGGGCCCATGGAGGTGTCACTGCTATATCCCCACTGAGTAGACCAGTGGGGAGAAGTTCCTACTTTGTCCACTCAAGCCAGGTACTACCCTTGCATCGTCTAACTAGCTTTGAGTTGGAGGCAAGCAATCCCATAGCAGGGCAGGGCAGTCAATATTGGCTGGTCAGCCCAGCATGATGCTTGTAGTGTGGACACAAAGAAGTCCCCCCCCCAAAAAAAGTGGGAACCTAGCTTAAAGCTTCCAGTCATCATAGTTATGTACTGTAAAACAGATAGATGGTTTTCCTTATTTATTTATTTACTTATTTCATTTATGTCCTATCCTTCTTTCAAGGAGTTCAGGGCAGCATCTATGTTTTTTTCTCCACACCACACCTTTTTATCTTTATACCAATCATGTGAGGTAGGTTGGACTGAGAGCTAGTAACTGAACTGAAATCGCTTCATGGCTGAGGTGGATGTGAAGCTTTCCCCCTTGTTTCCATTCCATAGTAGGAGAGCCTTCACACTAAATTTCTGTCTGCCATGCTTCTGTCAAAAGACCTGCCAGGAGCAATTCTGAATTTTTAACAGAGAATAGGCGTGGGCAACCTGTAGTCCTCCGGGTGTTTTTGTACTCTCACCAACTCCAGGCTGCATGGCCAGTGGACAGGGACGATGGGAGTTGTAGTCCAGCAACATCTAAAGGGTCATATCTGGTGTGGGAGAAGAAGAAATTTCAGCAGGTCCAGCATATTATGTCACTATGCTAGAAAACAGAACTTGCCCAAATGTCCTCTTATATACAACCATTAAAGCTGCAGAAGCCGAATACTGAAATATTGACCATCCCTTTTATAAGATATTCAGGACATGCCACAGACCAGTGGTTGTGAAAACTGCACCAGGAAGAAATTAATATGAAATAAGTAAGAGAGGTTTTCTAAATGCCCCACGGGGGGAGGGGGGAGTAGTATAATAGTTTGTATTCAAAAAAAGTTCAAAATCCATTACTTTCTGAAGACAGCTCTGAAGTCATGGTAAAATGAACTTGCTTATGTCTAAAGATATAACCAGAAAGCACTGCCACAGGCAAAGGAAATATATTTAATTTCTTCCCTTTCCACCCTAAAGTGGGGGGGGGGACTTTTTAAAACCCTATTCTGGTCAGGTTTTCTGAGCCATGTTACTGGAGTGAAAAGCCTGACCTGCTACATAAGCAGCACTTGTTTAAACAAGAAAAAACTTCAGTTTCTGGAGCAATCAATACAGCACCTTTCAACGCCGCCATTTTAAATTGATTTTCTTAATCTATATTATTCGTAACCTATCACTGCAGTATCTAAAATCTAAATGCTACTCTCATTTGTTCAGCTGCTTTCATTTGACCTTGACACTCGGGTGTTCAGGATTTTCTCACCCTTTTTTTAAAAAAAGAAGCCCTTTCTTAAAGCCTCCACAAAGCTTCAGCTTGTTTACCAGAACATGTCTCTCAGAACAAACATGCCACATTTCCCATCCCTTTCCACACACACACACCCTTCTCCTCACAGCGTGATACAACGTACAGTCTGTAGAGAAAGGATAGGGGTTTGTTGTTTGTCTTGGTTCTTTACACGAACACTTGCTTTAATCTGAGGATATGCTCAAGACTAGGGAATGGGCAAGAGGCCATTGCGCTAGGAATTTGCTATCATTGTATTTTGAAAGGCAGCTTCACAAGGAATAGAAATGCATTACATTATGGGGAATGGCTGCCATTCAGTGGTGGAAACATGGTACAATGTTTTGAATCTTCAGCGCTGTCCTAGCACCTGACTAGGTCCAGCATGCCTGTACACAAAACTCTCCACAGTGGCCAATTCCTATGCCATGTGAGTGACAGAGTGGCAGCTTCACTTCAGCACGTGAAGAGAAAATGTGGAGTATTGGCAGGCCTTTTTTTCCCAGCCAGCACCTCTTAGATGGGCGCCATTACCATTAGAAGAGAACAAGGGAGGTGTTCACGATGAGTTCAGGTACCTCTTTTCCTAGAAAAATAGTACTGCGTAGTCATTAGAGTGTTGGACTAGGATCTGCAAGACAAGGGTTCAAATCCCCACTGAGCCATGAAGCTCACTGGGTCTCCTTAGTCCAGCCACTTTCTCTTAGCCTTATCTACCTCACAGGGTGGTTGCAAGGATAAAATGAGGCTGGGGTGGGGGAACCAATGTACAATAGCTTGAGGTCTTTGGAGGTAAGGTGGGATATGATGTAATAAATAGCTGAGATAAGGTAAATACATTTCCAGAACTTAGTGGTGTGTTGCGCTACAGCGCCTGACTCTTAAGGGTGACCCAGCGAGTGGGGGAGCTGCATGGCTTTGCTGGCGGCTTCCGGTTTTCCTAGAATCCACTTGCCCTGTGCACGCACAGCGCTCCTGCGTACTGGGCGACTAATGAGCTCCTGCATCCTGGGTGACGCAATAGTTGCTCGCTGGCTGTGTTGTGAGGTTGGGGTGTGTATGTGCACTTGCTTCTCTAAACTGGATGGCTGAGCGAGCGCAGCGCATGGCAACCCTCCCCTCGTGCGCCCTCTTTGGGAGCCGAGGCCTTCTTGGGGATGGGAAACGAAAGGAGCCACAGGTGAGGTGAGGCTCCTCCTCCTCCTTTCCCCTGTGGTGCGCTTGCTGTCTCAGTCACACGGCCAGCTTGCTTTTGCCCTCCTGCTCCTCCCTCTCCTAGCTGTGCTCTCCTTCGCTCAGTCGCTTGCAGCTTGCCTCCCAAGCCGCCTGTCTATGGCATGAGCACGGGAGGGAAACCCCAAAGAGGCAGGTGGGGACGGTGTCGACGGGGACGCTGGAGCCTCTCCCAGCAGCTCCCTGTCAAAGCTCCTCACCAGCAAGCGAGGACCCCGTCTCTCCCTTTTCAGTGTGGTGGCTTCCCAGCAGGCAGAAGGGAAGCAGACCTGTCCTTAGCTGT